GTTTTGAGAAACGATGTACAAATGCGCTTTACACAATTGATGTGTGTATGGATTGGGATAACAGTTGTATGAGCCCCTAATAAAATGGTAAAAAAGAAAAAAAAAAAGAAAAAGAAAAATTGGGAGTTCAAATCCCCCCGGATATCTTGGAAGAAATGTCTAGGGATCTACTTCCAAGAAGTTCTGCTCTGGCATCAACTTTATAGCAAATGGTAGTTTGTTTTCTTTCTTTCTTTGTTATGTCTGTTTCCCCTTTGATATAATCCACTTTATTGATTGTCTCTCCATTGAAAGACAAAAGCTTTCTTGACCCCACATCCCTCCAGAGCCACTCTGCCCTACCTATGTCTTCTCTCTTTGACACAGGCAAGCTTCTTGAGAGGACCGTCTCTACCACTGCTTGTCATTTCCTCACCTCAACCCTTTCCAAGCTGGCTTCCGTTCGCAGCACCGCTCTGTAACAACTTTTGCTAAGGTGGACATGAACCCGATGGACACTTGAACTCCTGTCTTGACTGTGCTGTCCGCAGCACTTGTCACTGTGGGTTATTCCGATCGCACGTCCATGCCTTCCACCCACCACATCTCTTGGTTTTCTTCCCACCTGTCTGGTCTGCTTGTTGCTTTTTAGGTTCCTTTGCTGGCTCATTTTCTTCATTGAGTCATTCATTACGTGATGGAGTTCCTTTTCTTGTTCTTATCCCCCATTTCAACACCTCTTAGGGCTCCAGATAGGTACATTCAATCTTTTACTCAACAACCCCTCCTGAGTGTCTCAAAGACCCCAGCAACCAGTATACTCGAACCCACCCCCATGTTTCTCACTACTCCCACCCCCACCGGGTTCTCTTCCAGGACTCGAACTCATGGAGTGTTACGATGGCCTATCCTGCTGTGCAAACCAGAAGTAGAGATCCCATCCTTGACACTCCCCTCCCCCCCAGGCCCCCTATCCAGGCCATCCCCAAGTAAAGGCAATTTTCTCTCAGAATAATTTCTGGACTTCATTTGTGTTTCGCATCTACTACCATCAACATTCCATGCCAAGGTCAAATACCTTAAGACCCCAATCCCTACCAAGCCTTAACCGTCCTGCTCAGGTTGGTCCTTGCCCTCCTCCACAACTGTGGTCACTCTGCTTTCTGGTCTTACAGACCTAAGTTCAAGTCTTCATACCAGACATATCAAGCTTTTGCTGGTACTGTATATGATTTTCCTTTGTCTGGGACCTTTTCTCCCCCTACCCTCTCAGCCTAATGAACTTCTTCTCATCCTCCACATCTTAGTCCAAATGTCACATATTCAGAGAAGCCTTCCTGGAGCCTCTTACCCCAACGTGACCAATTTAGCTTCTGTTCTTGTGTGTTCTCAAAGAACCACACACCTTTCCTGCATAAACCCAAGAAACTGACTGCAATGAGTTGAATCTGACTCATAATGACCCTTGAGGATAGAGTAGAACTGACCTTTCAGGCAGGTTTCCCAGAATTCAAATCTTTACGGGAGCCAACAGGCCCATCTTTCTCCCGTGGAGAGGCTGGTTGGCAGCTGAATGTATAGCCCACTATGCCACCAAGGTGCCTCCTTTCCATCATGGCGTTTACTAAATTTGAATTTGTACTACATTCGTAGTTGATTACTGCCCCCTCTCCAAGACTATCAATTCCATAGGGACACCACTGGGCCTGCTTTGCTCAAAATTGTAACTTCAGTTTCACATTGCCTGGTGTGCATGTGGTGCTCAAAACATTTGTTGAGTGAATAACTATGATTTTTTTCTTTGTTTTTGATTTTTTAAGGATAGCTCTGGGTGCTGTGTTGACAATAGTTAGAGGACAATAGGCAAGAGGTTATGCTATCCAAATAGGAAAAAAGGATGGTGGCCTAGAATAATTATGGCAACAGTGGGGATGCGTTAAAATCAACGGATTTGAAAAATATTTCAGTATGATCAGGGCAGAACTTAGCAACATCAGATGTGGAGAGGGAGAAAGAGGTTAATCAGGAATGTTGCCCAAGATTCCAACTTGGGCAACTGAGTGGAAAGCGGCAATTTCTGAGATCAGAAGGAAGAGTCACTGTTTGGGATCGGTATACTTGGAATTCCTGTTGGAGTTCTAAGAGGATGCCACGGAGACAGGTGAACACAGGAGTCTGGCGTTCAGCAAGGAGGCCTGAGGGATCATCACTCAATATGTACACGGAACGTGAAGCTTTGGGGATGAATGAAATTTGGTGGGAGGAAGTGCAGCATGAGAGAAGGCAGCTCACCAAGAGCCTCCCCAGCATCTGCAAGGAGGAAAGGGAGTTATCCACTGAGATGGAGAAGATGCAGACAATGCGGTTAGGAGAGAAAGCCAGCAAATGACTGAAGGAGAGTGAGTTAGCAGGCACCGCTGGATAGACCGAGAGGTAAAAGGGTGATTAAGAAAGGATGCACTGTATTGAGCTTCACGGAGGTCTCCGGTGACCTTGGTGTGAGCCGTTTCCGTGGGTGTCAGGGACAGAAGGCAGCGTGGAGTGATTTTCGGAATGAATGGGGAGTGAAGTGTAGGCAGGGTTTGGGGCTTTGGAGAGAGCGAGCTAGGACTACCGAGGAAGGGAGGCTCGGGATGCAAGAGACCCGCAGGCTGATTCAACACAGGATTGGAATAGCGGCTGCACAGGCGACGGAAAACTGTTTCTCAGGAGTGCTCCTGTGGGCGCTAGGCCTTCAAGCTGCGCTGGGACGCGGTCGGCCCCAGGGCACACCCCTCGGCCGCTCGGCCGCTCGCTCGCCGGCGGCGACAGACTGCGGCTTTGACAGATCCCGGGCCTGGGACTGCAGCTGGAATCCGTGCGGCCTCTGTCCCCATCGCACCCCACGTCCCCTTCCCAGCCCTTGACCTCCCCTCCCCCACCGCCTGCCCCTCCGGGTTACGCGCCCCCTATTCTCGCCCCCAGTTCATCCCACGGGGGCAA